GTGTCAGGTTAGTTCGGGGAGATGTCATGTCGGGTTTATGTCGGGTCGGTTTGGTTACATGTCGGGACGGTTTGGATAGATGTCGGGTCGGTCAAATATACTTAACGAAAGCCAACCCGACAAAAATCAGGTTCGGTCGGGGCGGTTTGGGTATGTCGGGTTAGTTCGGGGTGATGTCGTGTCAGGTTAGTTCGGGTAGATGTCATGTCGGGTCGGTTTGGTTACATGTCGGGACGGCTTGGGTAGATGTCGGGTCGGTCAAATATACTAAACGAAAGCCAACCCGACAAAAATCAGGTTCGGTTCAATACTATAGTTGAGGAACATCAATACTATAAACATACCTATTTTGAGCCATTACTGAACTCAACGGCAATTGAACCTGGACACAACCAACACCGATGAGCCCCATTTCATCAAAACCCATGGAAACAAAGCACAAATCCAAATACGAATAAATTCTAAGAATATGGAGTGCCTGATGAATAAAACAAGCAAGACCAAATCAAGAAGCTCCATACCTTTATTGTTTTGCTGCGCACACCTCCTTCCCGTCACAAACCCTAGTTCCCAAAGTCAGAGCTGCTGTAAATTTGAAGAAGAGAACGAAGAAGAGTGCTTGAAGAAGAAGAGGACGGAGGGTACAATTGGAATTTCAGATCCAATTAATAAAGAACGAATCGGAGTGGCTGTAACTAACGGTGGGTTTGACGGATTGTACCCACCCAGTTAATTACTGGATAACAAGAGGGACCCCGTAGTACATTTCTAAATTTAATGGGACCTGGCAGTTATAGGTACCTGGGAGTGATTTTTTGGAGGGATTATCTATATTTTCCTCTTCACTCTTCCCGTTTGTCTCTGCCTGTGAATCCCCTTTCCTGTTCCAACAGGAAAACCTATTCTCTTTCGTCCCATATACGAAAGAGAGGTCTAGCGGGGGATAGCACTGCATCGAGCCGAATCAAGTTCCTTATCCTCTTCCAACATGAACGATCTTTTATCGGTACGTTTCTGAATTCTTACTGTTCTGGAAATTACATGAACATCCGCATTAGCTTTTTTGTCCGTTGATGGGATCAATAATGGATGAAACGCGAGAAATTAGAAAAAACTCTTTCGGGGTTTTATTAATCTCAGATGCAAAATCAGCTTCCATGTTTATCATTTAGAGAGTGATTGTTGATGTCTTGTGATTTGATTGATTGATGTAATTAGTAAAGTTCATCATCACTATACTTGATTTAATGCGTAAATGCACTCGTAATTATGGAGTATATTAATCCTTGGCGGCTTATTCATGAATTATTTAGTTTATTGGTACAATTCATTGCTTGATTTAGGTGGGTCGTAAATGTTTTTTCTTCGAGAAAGGAAAAAATAAAGGTGCAATCTGGACGTGTCATCTTAGTGCTAGGTCAGAGTAGTTTTATATTTAGCAGTTGATGAGGATGGATAGATGAGAGAGGAAAACAAAACAGATGAATAGATGATTATAAGGCTCCTTTTGGGAACGACGTTTGTAATTAGCACTAGAGTTTTGGATACATTTTTAATGGTGCACACTAACTTTATAATTGCTAAAACTAAGGTCTACCATTGGATAATATTTTAAAAGGCTAATGCTAAACATTAAAGCTAATATCCAATGGATGCATAATCTCTAAGGAGCATTTCTGCTTTCTTATTTTCCCTGGCCTCTAAGCTGATCGAGCTTAGATAATTTGTTTGGGAAGAAGATACTCTTGTACAGTAAAAATGTACAAGAACAACCAAACTGTTTTGTGATGTCTAGGTCTACCCAAACCTTACCCTATGTCCCTACCTAGAAAACGCAGAAAGACCATCTCCAGAACACCTGAGTTTCTAGCACAACAGTAAAAATGCAGTCATGCAGAACTTCATAATAAGAAATTGTTCGTTTGAAACCTTGTTCTACCATATGTACTTCAAATTGTTAGAGTTAATGGCTTAATGCTTCTTTACCTTTATCATAGGCTCTGCTTATATTCACTTTATAGCTTGCAAATCTAATACTCCGGTACTCCGTAGAATTTTGATCTCATCAACAATCTCTAAAATATATTCTAAAGTTCAAATTTACATGTTCAGAATCCCTTCATATGGATGTGATTATATAAATACAGTTCTTGTCTTTAAGGATGGGGTGGCTCATTCTTGAATGCTCCAAGTTATCAATCTCTGTATCACAAATTTTACCAAATTCACCTGTATTTTTATATTATTTTTCTTGATGGTACATGTTTTTTATGAGTTGTAACCTAGTTATGTGATTGGAAGAGGTCTCCTGAATGCACCACCGAAAGAACATGAAGAATAATATGTTTATCCAAAACAAAAAGAAGTGAAAATGGATTATTATATTTTATTTCCTACCTTTTATTTCATAAATGGAATCCTTTGGGAGTCACCATTTCCCTTACACTCCTTAATTTCTTCTCTAGGGTTCGTTTGAGAACCGCAGCGATCCTATAATTGGGAATGGAGATATTGAACTTGGAATTCATAGACCAATGAACTTGGACGAACTTCACCTGGATAGTTTTAATAAGCAGGTACTTACAATTCTTCTTATTGATATCGTGAATGCATTGCTTTTGGTCATACATCTTTCATTTATTCTATCGCACTGCAATGATCACACTCTTCTTTTCTCACATTTTCCCTTCTTTTGGTCTGAAAGGTTGGAGAAATCGAGAAAGAATATGATAAGGTTAATAAGTATCTCAGAAAACTTCAGGTATGACTTTTTATTCTATATGATACACTTTTGTCATGTTTTTGTGTCATTTGTTTTTGGAAATTAGCAATCAATCCTCAATGTCATTGAAGCGTAGACATTTTCATTTTCTCTAGGTGATGAAAAGACATTGTCATTGTCATTGACCTTGCAGCATATCAGTTACTGTTTGTCAAGCTTTTATGTTTACCTTTTAGGTGATGAAAATGAATGAAAATAAACTAGTGTTTGCATTTAGTTTTAGTTTATGTATGTTGAGACCCATCAGCTGGTTGTTAAGTTTTAAGATAGTTTGCCATACCATTTCATGAACAATGTGAAAAGAATTTGATGTACAGAATGGATCACCAATGATATTTTTAAAATGAATGCGCCAGTTACTTCTACTTGGCATGCAATGAACTTATATGGATGACTTTTCTATATACAACAAGTCAACAACAACATAAGGATTGATGACTTATCTATATACAACAACAACATTACCCCAGTGCCTCAAAGGCTCCCTCCCATTGCGAGGTAGGGGGGGGTCGGATGTACGTAGCTGTCGTAGCCTGACCCTATGTTACAACATAGAACGGCTGTTTTCAGATGACCTATGATGAGCATCCAAAGTCGCGGATTGAAACCTACTAGAATTAATTCATGATCTAAATCAAGACTAAATAGATTTCTCCCTTTCTTCTCTTAATAAGTATGTTACTGATGAAAAAGGAATAGAAACCAAGAGAATCTGAATGTGATAAATGTTGTATTTTCTGGATATCTCAGCAATAGAGAAGCTGAGATATTTATAACAGCTCTAACAAACTGATAAGATCAAAATAATAAACTGATCTAGTAAGATCTAAATTACAAACTGATAAGTTCTAACAAACTAAGCTAACCTAGGGTTTCAGAACTCTGAACTCCTAATAACCCGAGAGTCCTTTTATTTATGAAATATGAATAGTTATTTAATTAAAACCGTAAGAAACTCAATTAAACTACACATAATAATATAATTAAGGTGGCCTTCTACTATCAATGATACTGATCTTAACATTACTCCCCTCTCTGAAAGCCACTGTCCTCAAAGTGGAAGTCTGGATGGTTGTCTTGTATTAACTCGTTCAGAGTTAAAGGAGATTCTTCCCCTACTCCTAATTGCAACTTAAGAGACCATTGGATTAATGCTTTGATCAACTTTCGAGATGCCTTGTAATTTATATCGCTTCCCATTAACCCAGAAAATCAGAAACATTTCATTCCACTTTGCTTGAATAGTATTCAAGGAGGCTAACCATTTGATTCCAAGAACCATATCAAATTCAACTAGTGGAAATGGGTAAAATCTAGTGTAAGAGTCAAACCTGGAAGCTTAATTGAGAAGGACTCGCAAATCTTATCACACTGAATAATAAAACTGTCTCTACCCTAAATGTCTGAACAGAGGAAACAAGTAGCTTAGGTTGCTGCACAAGTTTTTCAGAGATGAAGTTGTATGTCGAACCGCTATCGGTTAACAAGCAAACTTCATGTCCATGTGATTTTCCACTTAGGGTCCGTTTGGAAAAGGAGAAAATGACTTCCAGAAGTCATTTTCCTCATTTTTTTTGTGTTTGGAAAAGAAGAAAAAATGGAGTCAAAAGAGAATGAAATCCAAGTCAACCGAAAAATGAAGCCTAAAATCTGGATTTTGTCTTCCGGATTTTTTTTCCGGAAGTCATTTTTCCGTTTCATCCTCGCTCATCTTCATTTTACGCCATCCACTCCCCTTTTTGTCGCTGTCCTAAGTCCTCGCCATCAAAATCACCAGCCTCCCCCATCTTCTTCCTCACCATCGCAACCGCCGCCCTTATCTTCTTCCTCCGTATAGCAATCGTGGTCCTCATCGCCTTCCTCCCCATCACAACTGCCGCACCCTCTCCTCCCTCTAAATTGTAACCGCCGCCCCTCCCTCCACTCATCTTCTTTTTCGTGAGTTCAATTTCAATTTGTTGAGATCTGATTTTCTTTGGGAGATATGATTAAAGAAGTGAATTTTTTTCTCCGGCTTTCAGATTCGGGAAATTCGTTTAGCTTTCATATTTGAATTAAAAATTTATGTGGAATTTTTTAGATTTTGGAAATTTGGTTCAGATTTGATTTTCACATTTTCCAATCTCGATGTTCAGATGCAAACCAAACGGAAATACATAATTTTCAACCTTTCATCCAAACACCAGAAAAGTAAAATGATTTCTGGAAAATAACTCATTTTCCAGAAATCATTTTCCAAAAGTCATTTTCCCTTTTTTCAAACGGACCCTTAATTTCACTGTGGAGGACGTTGGCATCCTCAGAATCGCATTCAAGGACACTTCCTCCTCTTTTGCCTCCCCATCGATGGGAACATGTTCGGGATTCAATGGGTTACCTTCCTCATCAACTTCCATAAGGAGAAGGTAGTGGATGAAGTCCAACAACGGTGTCCCGGCCTAAAGGGATTGCCACACCGATAGAAAAGTCCCTTATCCCTGCGTTGCTGTTTCATCAACTCATCCCTACTAAATCTCGAAACTGGAAACATTGGTGTTGAGCCTGAAGATTCTGAGAATGCAAGTGGCTGGGGTGAGTGAGATTGTGTCAAGTTTTTAACCTTTGGGTTTGGGCCAATGGTAGAATTTGAACCAGCACCCCGGCCCGATCCCATAGAACTTATCTTGAAATGCAGAGGTGTATTCCGTTTCTCAAACTCAAGGGCTAGACTGGAAGCCCTGAACACAGATTTGGGTTTGTTTGATTCTGACCTCCGACCTCAAATCTTCTCTCAAACCAATAAAGACACCCAAGAGACAATGGTCAGGCCAATTTCGGACTCAAGCAACCCTTCTCGTCCATTCTTGACGATAGTCCTGTACGGAGCTTGTTTGTTTGATTAAGAGTTAAGACAAGGTGTTTGTCTGGGTTCAAGTATTTTGGCTGTCCATAATGCTCCTCAATGATTTTGATGAATTCCTCCCATTATAAGAGCGTCTTTTCGGCATTGATCCAGGAGAACAAGCCGAGAGCGTCACCCTCCACGTGTATGGCCGCTATCTCAACCGTATCTTCTTCTGATGTTCCATAGTAATGGAAGTACTTTTCAGCCTTCAACACCTAGCCCCGTGGATCTCCGCCGCTGAATTAAGGGAACTCAACTTTGGATTTGGGAAATCGGCAGTGGCTGTGATCGTTTTCATCACCAGAATCGTCAATATACTGCTTCATCTTCGTCTTCCCACTAACGAGGTCAGCTAACACAGAAAGTTTGACAGCGATTTGTGCTAGAGCGTTGCTCTGCGGACTAACTTCGTTTGCAGGTTGCTTGTTGGATCCACCATCCTCACAGTGGGCAGCATTTGCACGGGTAATCGCCATAGGGATTGAGTAATGAGGCTCCGATACCAAATGATAGAAACCTACTAAAATTAATTTAGGATCTAAATTAAGACTAAATAGAAGTCTTCTTTCTCTCAATAAGTATCTCACTGATGAAAAAGGAATAGAAGCCAAGAGAATCTCAATGTGATTAGTGATTTATTTTCTGGATGTCTGAGCAATAGAGAAGCTGGGATATTTATAAAAATTCTAACAAACGGATAACATCAAAATAACAAACTAATCTGATAAGATTAAAATAACAAACTGATAAGTTCTAACAAACTAAGCAGTCTAAGCTAACCTAGGGCTTCAGGACTCCTAATTACCAGAGAGTCATTTTATTTAATGAATAGTTATTTAATTAAAATAGTAACAAACTCAATTAAACCACACATAATAATAAAATAAGGTGGCCTTCTGCTATCATGCTTAATCCATGTCATGAAGATTCGACTAAGTTTTACGTTGGTTGCCGAGACCTAACACAACCTCCTCATTAATCCGGGCTTGGGACCGGCTATGTAACATAGTTACATAGGCAAAGTTAGTTGCACAAGTGAAAAACATTTATTTAAAAAAACAGTCTATTACTCGGATACCTGGAGCAAATATGGATTCTTTTTTATCTTCAATATGCATGTGTACAATCATGAGGTACCAAAAGATCCATTCTTTACCATGTTTTCCTATTCGTCTTACAGGAAGCCCATGAGAACTCAAAGGTTGTAACAAAGGCTTCTGCAATGAAAGGTGCTCAAAGTTTTTGTATTTGATATTACCCCTTCAGTCCCAAAATGGATGTCATTGTCTATTATTCACAGTCAAACTTTATCTTCTTTGTTTGCCTATTTTTGTTACTAAGTCTTCCATTTTTATAGATCTTTTAATGTAGTTTTTAAGTATTTAAATTTTATTTTAAAATTTTACACCAATACTTAACTAAATGAATTGAAAACAATTTCAGTCAAATTTTGTTAACCGTAAAGTGACATCTAGATTGGGATGAAGGGAGTACATTTTATGATCTGGGAATTTTGTAGCTATCAAGTTCGACATGATTTTTCTTCAACACTTTTATTTCAGCATATAAATTGAAGTAAATTGTAAGCTCTTTGTTCATGGATTGTGACAGCGCATAGACTTTATTAGTATATTAGGACCTTCAATTGCTTTGAAAACCAATTACTACAATGAAGGGTATTCCCCTTTCTTATCTTACTTTACAAGATTGTCCTAACATATACCATTTGTATACATGAGTTGCACCCATTCACAGGGCCTCTTTTACTAAATTAAACCAATACCATTTTGGAATTAGCAATTTACGAATTTTCTCCATAAAATTAGAAACAAATATGACAGTAGGTTAGATTTGTTTATTTGGAATGATAAATCCATATTAATGCACATCTAATTGTTTTCTTGTAATAATGTATGCCTTAATGGCATCATTTACAGCAATTAAGCAGCAAATGGAGAAAGATGTTGATGAAGTTCTAAAAATTGCTCGATCCGTAAGAAGAAAAATTGAGGAGATTGACAAAGAGGTGGTTTTAAAAAATAACAGAATAATGACAACTACCTTCTTCACAGTTCTAATTTCCTATTTTGAGCTTTTATAAATTTTCAGAATTTAACCAGCAGAAACAAACCTGGATGTGGCAAAGGATCAGCTATTGACAGATCAAGATCTGCAAGAACAATGTAAGTTTTAAATTACTTTCATCTTTCCTTTTTCCCATTGATTGTCACTGATTTTGGCTAATTGTTTTGATGTATAAGTCTATATGCGCCGTATCACGTTTAAATTGTATTTCATCATACTAAGCCAGCATGAGTGTGGATCAGTGGACGTATTATTGGGAAATGATGTTAATACTTTTACTCTGAAGATCAATGCACTTTCATGAGTTAATATACCACTATTCAGAATAATTATAATGACGTAATCTATCTATTGCAGTGCAATGAAAAAGAAGCTCAAAGACAAGATGATGGAATTTCAGGTACTTCATCTTCCATGCTGAATTGGAATAGGGATTTCCCAAATTCTTTTGTCTTCTCTTAGTTCTTCGAGTTGATTGACATTTCAGACTTTAAGGGAAACCATCCATCAAGAATACCGTGAGGTTGTTGAGAGACGCGTGTTCACAGGTTATAAACGTTCATTAACTGTATATGTGGATTATGACCATCATGACTGTCCTCTCTCTATACATTTCTAACGTTTTACTATTTCGTAGTTACGGGAAATCAAGCTGATGAAGAGGTGAGATATGTGTTCCTGTAAATTTTAAGCAGACCAATTTCTCCTGGAAATTAAGTACGCCATGTAACTCATGTTATGTAATTGCACCATATTCTCTTTGTATTCAGACAATTGACAGGTTGATAGAGACTGGGGACGGTGAACAAGTATTCCAGAATGCTATTAGGGAACAAAGAGGGAAAGGCCAGGCACGCAATATTTGCCATTATCTTCTGCTTATCTATTATTCTTCCATTTTTAATCAAATTATAGTTATTTTTGATAGGTGTAAGGTCTGCGTTAACCACAAGACCCTAATGTGTGGGAATATAGTGGGTAGGTTTGGCTGAAACAACTTGTAGTTATTTGTACAAACTTTATTTGCAGATAATGGACACCCTTGCAGAAATCCAAGAGCGACATGATGCAGTAAAGGAATTAGAAAGGAAGCTTCTAGACTTGCAACAGGTATTGTTATTCATTTCATTGGGACTGATTATCTTGATAGCATAGGGAATGGCTATGCTAGCTTTTAGTAGAACAGTCACTTTGGTTTTATAGATTTGTCTGGCTAGCAGTAATGGCAATGTCTTCCTGGTATGAATAATTACACTAAAAACACCATCAGTTTTTGTTTCTACAGACACATAGTAATGATACTTTTTGCGCACATACAGATACAAATGGAGATACAATAATTCGGTATCTAAATATAACAGAAAGCTTAAAGAAGTACTTAGGAGGGTGAATGTACAAATATGTTTCTAAGATATTTGTTTAAGTAACAATTTTAACATCCTCTCCTCAAGCACATGATGGATTAAGAGGGATCATAGAGATTTGGCTAGTTAGAAAACGAAAGATTGCAATTGTGTATATCTGTCTTTGGCAATTTGCATGGAAGGTGAGACAGATGCGGTTGCAAATGTCGCGAGTGAAGTAACAATCAATCTCAATGTGCTTGGTCCATTCATGGAAGACAAAGTTGTGTGCAAGATGGATGGAACTCAAATTATTACCTACATAGGAGTTGGGGTCAGTGAAGGATACACCCATATAACTGTATAAGCAAACACCCATGCTTTTAGTTTTAAATAAAGTTCAGGTATTAAATGGGGAATAATAAATATCTGTATTATTCGGTATTACCGGTATACAGCTGCAACAACCAAGCCTTATCTCACTAGGTGGGGTCAGCTACATGGATCAAACGACATTGCGCCCTATCATGTATTATATGTGCAGAAAGATTATTCACGCGTATATCACCCTTGATCACGTCGCGCTAAGTTTTCTTAGGTCTGTCCCTTTGATAGAGTACCACATATGCTGTTATTTTATGCTATTAATATTTATAGTAGAGTCAGTTGTGGACATTTGTTTATGATGTCAGATGTTTTATTTAATATATGTTAGTTACTAAGTAGTAAATAATGTCTAGGAATAGTTACCAGGTAATGTGGAAGTAGGCCTAAATCCTAGGGGTTGGTAGTTAATTGGCTTCTATAAATATTGAGGCTCATTATTTCTAAAAGTTATCCAGAAAATATTTGACCTCATAAACAAATGTGGCCCTCTATCATTATCCCCTCCTTCGAAATTTGCCTTGTCCTCAAGGCAAAATCTAGACAATAGCTTCTCTGTGTGTATATATGGAGGTTTCAGTAGCTTCTCTGTATGTATATCTTCTCTGTATGTAGACAATCTAGACAATAGCTTCTCTGTATGTATATCTGGAACTTTGAATTTGTCGGGAATTTCAATCGGAAAGTCGCGTCTGTCGCGACTCCCAAAGACCAAACGCAGTGTGTGTAGCGATTCCCAATTCCAGTCGCGACTCCCTTCCAATTCCAGGCTATTATTTACGGAGTATCTGCTTCTATTTATTTGGGACACCCAATCTGCTTCTAATTGCGACTCCCAATCTGCTTCTATTATTTATCTGCCGATTTGGGACTCTTATTTATCAGCCTTCCTTTTCTGCTTCCTTATGCTTCTTTCTGCTTCCTTCTGCGATTATTTATCAGTCGCGACTCCCTTTAAGTCATTTGTGATCCAACTTGAACTTGTGTTTTGTTTTATTAAAATTCAATTAAAACATATATTCCCTCCGTCCCGGAGTACTCGTCCAGTTTTGACTTTTGGAACTGTTCATCTAAGCACTTTGACTCATCAAATTCTCTCAATGTGTAAGCCTGAATATAGTCATGTGTGATCTTGTTTGATTTGTCTTAACATATAGATTATTAATATATAATTTCTATAATTTTTTAATATACAAATTACAAGATAAAATGGATTAAAGAAGTGTATTGGATGGCGTGTAAAAATGAAAGTGGACAAATACTCTGGGACGGAGGTAGTATGTATGTATGTATGTATGTATGTATGTATGTATGTATGTATGTATGTATGTATGTATGTATGTATGTATGTATGTATGTATGTATGTATGTATGTATGTATGTATGTATGTATGTATGTATGTATGTATGTATGTAT